ACATGCATGTCCATACCACATCCATCAGGTGGAAAACTCAACACAGTGAAAATGTCAGTTCCTCCAAATTCACATTCAGGTTTAACGAAATCCCTATCAAAACCCCGGCAAGGGACGCCTGGGTGGCTCAGTTGTTAGGCGTCTGCCTTCGGCTCAGGTCAGGATCCCAGGGTCCTGGGATCGAGTCCCGCATCAGGCTCCCTGCTCCACGGGAAGCCTGCTTCTCCCTCTCCCACTCCCTCTGCTTGTGTTCCCTCTCTCGCTGTCTCTCTTTCTGTCAAATAAATAAAGAAAATCTTTAAAAAAACAAACCAGAAAAAACCCCAGCAAAAGTTTTTGTAGCTTCAGATAAGATTATTTTTAAATTTATATAAAATCTTATGGGCCCTAGAATAATTAAAGCAATCTTGCCACAGAATATTGAGTCTCCACCAAAAGTCACTGAAGTTTCCTGCTTCAACAGTGCTTGGACAGAACCCGGCACTCGTCCCCCACACTGGTGGCTGCTCAGAGTCAACCCTCCGCCATCTCCTCACAGCGCCCACCGACCGTCCCCGTTGCAGCCACCACCACTTGACACTGCCTCTCCTCAGCGGCTGCCATGATGACTGCGTCCCTCTTACAGGTGCACCAGAACTACCACCAGGACTCGGAGGCTGCCCTCGACCGCCAGACCAACCTGGAGCTCTATGCCTATGTCTACCTGTAGTCCATGTCTTACTACTTTGACTGCTAAGAAGGCTTTGAAGAACTTGGCCAAATATTTTCTTCACCCATCTCATGAGGAGAGGGAACATGCTGAGAAACTGATTAAGCTGCAGGGAAGACCCTCAGGATATCAAGAAACCAGACCGTGATTACTGGGAAAAGGGACGATATCAAGAAACCAGACCGTGATTACTGGGAAAAGGGACCAAATGCAATGGAGTGTGCGTTACACTTGGAAAAGAGTGTGAATCAGTCACTGCTGGAACTACACAAACTTGTCACTGATAAAAAAATGACCCCATCTGTGGGACTTCACTGAGACTCATTACCTGAATAAACAAGTGAAATCCATCAAAGAATTGGGTGACCATGTAACCAACCCGCACAAGATGGGGGCTCCTGAATCTGGCATGGGAGAGTATCTCTCTGACAAGCATACCTTGGGAAACAGTGATAACGAGAGCTAAACCTTAGGGTCTTCCCATAGCCCCAAGGGTGACTTCCCTCGTCACCAAGGCAGTGCATGCGTGGTGGGGTTACATTTACCTTTTCTATAAGTTGTACCAAAACATCTATTTAACTTCTTTCATTTGTACCATTCCTTCAAAATAAAGTTATTTGGAAACCCCCCCCCAAAATAATCTTGCCACAAAATATTAAAGTGGGAGAAATCATTTTACCTGATACAAAAGCTTACTATATAGCTATAAGTAATCAAGACAGGGTGGGGGTGGCAGAGGGATAAACACATATAGCAATGGAACAGAAGAGGAAACCTAGAAATATACCCAAACCAATACACTCAACTGATTTATGGAAAAAAAAAAAAACTGCACAAGCAATTCAACAGAACAAGGATTATCTTTTTAACAAATGGTGCTAGAGGAATCAGACATCCACGGGCCAAAAAAAAAAAAAATCAATCTAAACCTCATACCTTATAAAAATTAACTCAAAATGGAGCACCAGAATAAATCTAAAACCTAAAAGTATAAAATATTTTTAAATGGGAAAGAGCTTCAGGATTAGTGTTAGTGGAAGAGTTCTAAATGTGGACATTAAGATATGATCCATTAAAAAATGATCAACTGAGGGGCCCTTGAGTGGCTCAGTTGGTTAAGTGTCTGACTCTTGATTCAGGCTCAGGTCATGATCTTGGGGTCATGAGATCAAGCCCCGTGTCAGGCTCAGCACTCAGTGTTGAGTCGGCTTGAGATTCTATCACCTTCTGCCCCTCCCCCAGCTCACATGCATGCTAAATAAATAAATAAAATTTTTTTTTTAAAGATAAATTGAACCTACATCAAAACCTAAATCTTTGGCTATGTGACTCATTTACGAGGATGAAAAGATAAGCTTATGGTCTTGGAGACAGTATTTGCAAACCATGTATCTGAAAAGGACTCATATCTATAACATTTTTTTAAAAAGCTCTAAAATTGAACAGTAAAATATCAGTCTTATTGGAAAATAGGCAGAAAACATGAACATACATTTCACTGAAGAGGATATACAGAGAGTAAGTAAATTATAAGGTGTTCAACATCATTAGCCATTGGGGAAATACAATTTAAAATACAATGAGTTATCACAACACACCCATCAAAGTGTCTAAAGTAAAAAACAAAAAACAAACAAACAAAAAAAACAGTGACAATATAAAATGCTGGCAAGGATGCCAAGAAACTGGATCATTCCCCCATTGCCGGTGGGAATGTAATGTGATGCATCCATTTTGGAAAACAGTTTGGCAGTTTATTTAAAAGCCAAACATTCAGGGCACCTGGGTGGTTAAGTTGGTTAGGCGTCTGACTCTTGCTTTTGGCTCAGGTCATGTTCTCAGGGTCGTGAGATTGAGCCCTGTGTCAGACTCTGCACCAAGTGTGGAGCCTGCTTAAGATTCTCTCTCCCTCTCCCTCTCCCTCTCCCCATTTGCTCTCTCGTTCTCTCTTGCTAAAAAATAAAAATAAAAAAATTTCTTCTCTTGGCATAACATCCTTCAAAAAAAAAAAAAAAGCTAAACATTCAACTACCATATGACCTAGAAATTACATTCCTGGGCATTTATCCCAGAGAAATTTAAAAGTTACATCCATAGAGAAAACAGTACATTTATGTTTATAGCACATTATTTCAATAGCAAAAACTGGAAACAATCAAAATGTTCCTCAGTAGGTGAATAAACAATTTGTGGTATATCCACATCATGGAATACTACTCAGCAACAAAAAGGAATTCACTTTTGAAACGTGCAGCAACCCAGATGGATTTCAAAGGCACTGTGCTCAATGAAAAATGCCAATCTCAAAAGATCACACTCCATGATTCTATTTATACAACATTCTCATTACAGAGGCTGAAAACTGATTAGTAAGTAGTGCCAGGGTTAGGAATAATTGGGAGGAATGAGGTGGGTATGATTATAAAATAGTAGCACAAGGGAGATCTTTGTGGTGATAGAATTGTTCTGTATCTGGACCGTAGTGGTGGTTACATAAATCTGCCCATGTGATAAAATTACTTAGAATTACACACATACAATTTGTCAATGTTCATTACCTGGTTTTGATGTTATACTATATTTATGTGAGATATAAACATTGGGAGTAACTGGGTGGAAGGTATATGGGACCTCTCTGAACCATTTTTACAATTTCCAGGGACCCTATGATCATTTCAAAACAAAATTTTAAAATTAATGTCCAAAAATTTTCCTCATTTTAATAAAAATATCCAGCCACAGATCCAAGAATTCCCTTGACTCACCGTAGGCAAATTGCCGAAAATCAGTGATAAGGATAGTCACTGCCTTCTCATCAGAAACAATGCATGCCAGAAGGCAATAGGATGACATTAATGTGTTAAAAGGAAAAAAAAAAAGTGTCAACTTAGAATTATATATGCAGCCAAATTACTTTTTAAAAATGAAGGTAAAATTGGAATGCCTGGGTGGATCAGTTGGTTAAGTGTCTGCCTTTGGCTCAGGTCATGATCCCAGGGCCCAGGGATCGAGTCTCGCTTCGGGCTCCCTGCTGAGCAGGGAGCCCGCTTCGCCCTCTGCCTGCCACTCTCCCTGCTTGTGCTCTCTCTCTCTCTCTGACAAATACATAAATAAAATCTTTAAGAAAAGTAAAATAGATACATTTTCAAATAAAACTTGAGCAAATTCATCATAAGAAGACCTACACTATCAAAATTATTAAAGAGAATTATTCAGAGTGATGAAAAATTTTAACAGATTGAAACTTGGATTTACACAAAGAAATGAAGAATATCATAACGGTAAGTATGTGGCTAAATATAAAATGTGTTTTCTCATTTTTAAACTTCTTTGAAAGACTTGACTGCTTAAAGCAGAATAATGTAATACAGGGTTTATAACAGGTAGAAATAAAAGGTAGCACAACAACAGCACAAAGAATGACAGGTAAATGTTGGTTTACTATTGTTTTTATATTATACGTGAAGTGGTATTATAATATACTACCACAAACTATTATAATATTCATACATCTTTATATACATAATATATAAGTATACATGCATACACAGATGCTCACACATACATATGTTCTGAGACAGGGTCCTCACATTTCACTCTATGGGAACATGGCACAATAAAGTTTATAAACTCATTATGAGGAGGAACATAAAGGATCCACCAGGTGATTAAATGTATGTAAACACTGGGAGTGTTTTAAGGTAGATCACCAAATGACTTGGTTCTATCTCTATAACTTTTTTGTTTAAAGATTTGTTTATTTTAGAAAGAGTGCAAGTGGAGGGGAGGGGCAGAGGGAGAAGGAGAGAGAATCTCAAGCAGACTCTGTGCTGAGTGCGGAGCCCAGTGTGGGGCTCCATTCCCACAACCCTGAGTTCGTGACCTGAGCCAAAACCAAGAGTTGGAGGCTTAACCAACTGAGCCACCCAGGCGCCCCTGTCTCTTTTATTTTTAAACTCTATGACATTAGTGCTCCCTGACAAGGATAAAGATGGATCTCACTGATGAATTTTGCTGCCACAGCAACTGCCATTATACCTCCCCCTGTTCTGATGTGTTGCTTCCTGCTTCAGCCTCCCATCAGCCACAGTGGCAGAAGCCCAGGGAATCAGAGGTGAAGTTGAAAGATGAACACTGCCTATACTCTTCACTTCACCCAAGAGGCCATTGGAAATAGCCCAAAGACCCACTGAGGGAGATGGACATTGTTTCCCAGAAGTAAATACAGCTCGGCTTGTACTTTGGAACAATTGGTCAACCTTGCTACTTGCACAATTCGTCAGCAAAGGTTATGCAGTGCCTGAATAGGATCATGGCAGAATCACTGGGCCTCATCACCATCTGCCTTTTAGGATATCTACTCAGTGCTGAATGTACAGGTTTGTTTCCTTTTTAAAGATACATTGAGTATGCTTGTCTTTTAGATATAGAAATGTCTGGTGCTATCTTCACTAAATAACGATTATAGGATTTGACAGCAACGTTTAAGATTCTCGTTGTCAGCATGTGGGTTGCTAAGTACTCGTTCTCTGGTAGCTGTGTCTTCTTAATTGTTAAAACTAAATAGATCTACAATGCTTACGGTACTTTTATTTTTAATGGACACTGGTAGGCTTGTGATTTGACAATGTAATTCTGCTTAGAAAACAGTCACCTCCTTGGTTAAAGAAAAGTAAGAGTGGGAAAATGTTTTAACCAGGAAACAGCAGACTGTGAAGAAGACATTAACCCTGTCATTTTGTGTTTTTTTTTTTTAACTCACCATTTTGAGATCAAAATGGGATGTGTCACGTTAAAGCTACAAACAATGGCTTTATTTACACACAAAGTTGGATTTTAAGGTATCTGATGTGTTTCAAAATTTTAGAACTACATAATGAGGCAAGCCTCTAATTTTAAACATCCCTAAAGTTATACACCTACAATTTTAAGGTTTACTTACAACAAACTTTTCATTACTAAGTTGTTACTTATCCCTAAAGTTTTTCATGAATTAGGAAAAATTATTTTGTCTCTGATTCTAAACATCGCAGAGTTAATACATGGGGAAACCCAATACTCACTTGAGCAAAACAAGTCCAAGAACTGACATAAGGAGTAGGAACTTAGTTAATGCAATGTATATCACTTGGTTTTTTCACAACTTCAGTGACTTTATGCATTTCCCAAAGGAAGGCACACAGGGAAGAAATTACCCCATTTAGGCAGACAGTGTGTTCTCACAGGAAACATTTATCACCCTTACTTGTCAACCTACTCTAATCAAATCTAGTAGCTGACAGTGCCAGGATCAGGGGTGCCAACCCTAAGGGTCCCTGGAAAGCAGACTGGCCCTGTGTTTCCCTCTCCAGACATGATGTCAGACTGAAATGCAGGAATGATGATCCGAGCACGCAAAGGTTAAATCAAACTAGCCAAGTGGGTAGAGTGAAGAAATAAAGAAATTTAGCCGGAAAATTCACCAAGTAGGACATAAAGCTAAGCCTTTACACATATCTCATCAGTGTGAGATCTAGGAGGACAAAAGACCCAAGTCCCTCCTTCAACATAAGTGCTGAGATAATGGACGTTTCAGGAGGGCTACTTCTCCCTTGAAGACCTCAGATGTTGGAAAAAAGGAGAGGTATGGCGGTGCGGAGGGGCAGGGGGAGGGACTAGAAGAGATAAACCCAAAGAGAGACTAAATATGTGACCCTCAGACAATAGTGAGGAGAAAGGCAGTGTGATTCTGGAGTCCTTGTAGGCGGAGATAACAGGCCCTTGCGGAGAGAGCCAGGAGATTTCCCTCAGGACGGCAGCACTGATGCATCACTCTCTTCTGCTCTTAAACTGTCACTGGCTTCGAAAAGCTGTTTCTGTGAATGACTTACAGAGATGTTACATTTTCATGACCGCGGCCCTTAGGTATTATTTGCATCTGTTTAGAATTTTGAAATCAAAACTGTTCTGTGAAACCAATTCAGTTTTATAAGGTGCATGGGCTGAAGGTGTCTTTCGTTCAGAATGAATGCATGAAATGAACGAATGAAAGACAGCTTCGGTCCGTACACTTTACAAAACATCACAAAACTGAGTGACTAACATGGTGCCAGGTACCGGGGTGAGGTATCAGGGGCACGGGGATAATCCAGACTCCCTCTTTGACCTAAAGCCCCACGAAGTCAAGTGAGAAATCTCTCAATGTAAGGTGACAAAATGTGTGCCAGGTGCTAAAAGACCATACAGAAAGGAATATGTTAACTGGGAAAACACTTGACAGACAGACAGTATCTTAAAAGATGGGTCTTAAAAGATGAGTAGGTTCACTCTCCTTAAATGTCTGATCTAGGGCATTGCACACAGAGAGAATCACATGTGTGCAAAGATCCAGATCCACAAAGAATGTGAGGTCTTTCAGGAACTCAGTAGGTTTTGAATATTAAATATGACAAGTGAGGTAGGAGAGCTAGACAGGGTCAGGTCATCAGATAATGAAACTCTGAAATGAAGGAGTTTGGACACCAGAACCCAATTACTGGGTCATCAGAAGTGTAAACGTGAATAATGCTGATGGCTGATCTAGAATGCTCAGTCTGGCAACATTCTTTTTTTTTACTATTTTTTTTTCTCACTACGTTTTTTATTTCGATTCCAGTATGGGTAGCATACACTGTTACATGAGTTTCGGGTGCACAATATAGTGACCCAACAATTGTATACATTACTCAGTGCGCATCCTGATACGTGTACTCTTTAACCGCCCCCCCCCCCCATCACCGTCTGGGTGTGGAAGGGGAACCGGTTCAGAGAAGCGTGGAGGGTGGTCTTGGGCATCTGACATGATTACAGGACACAGCATCGTACCTTCGAGAATGGGCTGTGCAGTCTGACTGCCAATGCCCCGAAATCCTGGCTCTGACACTTTAGTATGCTCCCTGGGCCAAGTGACTTCACCTCTCCGAAGCTCCATTCCTCTCACTTACAATGAGATGACAGTAGCTATCTCGTGGGACTACTGTGAGGATGGAATGAAATGATGGCCCCAAAGCAATGAGCACAGGGTCCAGCCCTTCCGAAGCATTAGATAAACACCAGCTCTGATTCGTCGCAGGACAATGTAGAGTTAGGGAGCTGGAAAGAGGATCTGGAATTCAGAAGATAGATCTGACCAGAAGGTAGATATTTGGAACCCCCACTGTCGGAGAAAGAGCAGTTCCGATGGTGTGTGTGAGGGTCCCGGGAGTGAGCATGGATAATGTGGCGGCTGACATAGGGCCCAGCTGTAGCAAGTGCTCAGAAGACTAATAGAAAGAAAGAAAAGAAAAGGGAAGGGAAGGGAAGGGAAGGAAAGAAAAAAGGAAAAGAAACTGGTGTTGAGAGAGTGAGGGCCAGCCTGGGGGGGTAAGCAAGGTACATACATAGAGTGTAACTGTACTTGCATGTGCACACTGAGAGACAGGGTCTCCTTACATGTTGTGCCCTAGATGCCTTGTTTACTTCACCCTAGTCCCGGCCCTGCGGTAAAGACATATGGCATGACCAGGCTAAGGCAGTAACCTGAGAGAACTCTGAACGTTGAAGGGGCAGGCAGCCAAAAGGGAATGCATTGATTCAAGTGGTGGATGAATAACAAGAGTTAGAGCAAAGAGAAGAGCCAGTAGAGTGACTTCATGGAAAGAGTACCCTGGGGGGAGAGAGAGAGAGAGAGAGAGAGAGAGAGAGAGAGAGAGAGAGAGAGATCAAGCATTAAAAATGTTTCAGAGCGGTCAAGAAGTACATAAACTCATAATTATCCTTTAGGAAGTCATTGCTGATCCTGACAATAGTCATTTCATTATATGGATGGGAGTAAAGAAGGGAAAGAGCCAGAGAAAAGCGCATTAAGGCACTAGAAGGAATTGAGAAACGGAAAGGCAGGCCAGCATGAGAGGATCAGAGAGAGAGAGAGAGAGAGAAAGAGAGAGAGAACCCACGTACACCACGTACTGTGTACACGTATTATCTCACGGATCCTGTCAACAACACTGTGAGGTAGATATTCTTATTATACCACTGGTATACCCATTTTGCATTTGACTAAGTTAAGCTTCAGAGATTTTTGTCACTTGCCTAACGTCTCACAGCCAACAGGTGGTAAATATGTGGTTCAAGTCCAGGTGTGTCTGACCTGACTGCAAACCCCTGTTTTTCCACTCAGCCCCACTGTAATTGGGGGCGGACATAAATGCTACCGTCGGGGTGCCCAGGGCCAAGCAGAGAGGAGGGCCTGGCGGGGCGGCTGGGAGGCATCACCAGGTGGTGGCATCCATCTGCAGCTCGGTGGTTTTCTCCCACAGTGCTCAGCGGCCCCAAGAGGGAAGACAGGCAGATGGCCGCACTCATCTAGCGCTTGGCACTGCAGGGTATTGCAGCACAGAGGAAGGAGTGAGGGATTTGAGAAAGTTGGCAAGAGTTGAAGAGAAGAAGTCTAAGCTAAGTTCCAAAAAAATGTGAAGTCCAAGGGGACTCGCAGAGCAAGAGAAAAGTGAGGTTGTCAGGGGACCCGAAGTCTCCATAAAGTGAACAGCTGCAATGAAAATAAGGGAATACAGTTTAGCTCCTCTTCTTCTTCCTTCTTTCTTCTTCTTCTTCTTCTTTTTTTTTTTGGAATTTATGAGAAAGCAGTCCCAAAATGCCTGGAAAGTTCATCTTATAAGCACCTGGTCCTGTTCAGATCATATCAGAGAGTCCCCTGAAGAAAGGAACAACTCCAGCAACTTCTTGAGTTCCTGTTATTAATTATAGATATAGATATGTTTTCAATATCTACCTAGAGAGACATACACAGAGACACAGAGAGAGAGAGGCAGAGAGAGAGACAGTGAGATTTGAATGTGGGGAGAGAGGGAGGGAAGGAGAGAATTAGGTTAGAGACCTCAGTCCTCCAGAGTTCAGGAGTGTCCCTAAAGGCTAGGCTGTCACAGCTAAAGTCAGTCACATCCTGAATCCCAGAGAAAGACTTAGGTCACTGGAATTCCCTTAACACATGCCAACCGAAGGTACTGTGAATCTGAAAATAAACAAATTAATGCAGTGGTTTTTCTTTAACATCTAGTGAGAGACACTGGGGTTGCATTTGCAGCGGGACCACAATTAGGCTTCTGTTCTTCCAAGAGAAATTTGTTGCAAAGTCATTTGGGCAACCGCATCCCGAGAATGCAGCCCAGCCAGGGTGATGGATCACCTTGCAAGGATCTGCAATTAGCTATTTTCAAATGATGACAAAGTGTGAACTTAACTGCTTATTTGAGAACTTTCTCTTTCATCCAAAGTAAATTCAAATATGATTGAAAATCTGACCTTTCATCACTGGAACTCTCTTGACTAAAAGCCAAATTGAATTTTAATTCCTAAATCTCCATGTGTATACAGTAGTACCATGAGGACAGCACAGATTTTGGTTCCATGCCCCAAAGATAAATTGGCTTTGGGATTACTTGAATTAAAAACAAAGCCTTTCTTAAGAGATGTATTTAATTTTCATGATGTTTTCTTTTTCCTAAAGCTAAAGAATTGTTCTTTTGAATTTCAGTTTTTCTTGATCGCAAAAATGCCACCAAAATTCTGAATCGGCCAAAGAGGTATAATTCAGGTAAACTGGAAGAGTTTGTTCAAGGTAACCTTGAGAGAGAATGTATGGAAGAAAAGTGTAGTTTTGAAGAAGCCCGAGAAGTTTTTGAAAACACTGAAAAAACCGTGAGTATCTCCACATAATATTCTTCAGATGCAGAGCAAAGTACAGAAAACGAAAAAAGAAAAAAAAAAAAAAGAAAGAAACTTCTCTTTGGAATTTTAAAATGTCTACCCATATATATGTATTATAAAAGTTATAAAAGGGGAAGACTCGAATCCAAAATATTTTGAGTACTACCACTAACTTGTCCTCTTTTTCTTTATAGACTGAATTTTGGAAGCAATACGTTGGTAAGCAATTTTTCCCTCTAGCTGGTATAGGAAACATCTGAGAATTATGTATCATTTCTCTGTGTAAACAGACAATATATTAAACGCTGTCAAAAGGGTCTGACTCTTTTACCCAAGACTGAATGGTGATATAGGACAGGTTTATGCCCGGGGGGGGGGGGGGGGGGGACAGGAGAGAGAAAAAAATTTTTTTCTCCCCTAGGGCTTCAACAAGACATTGTTGTACTCCAGGCAGCTGGAAGGAAGAAACTAAGATGACTGCCCCTGGGCACTGAGTGAGAGTTTCCAGTCTTCCGCAGAGAATGTGAAAAACGCTGACTGACTTAGATGTTTATTGCTTAGAAGTCCTCCTTATGATGGCCTACAAGGCCCTCCATGATCGTCCCAGCCCTCCCTTTCCACCGGCCCTCAGACCCTCCTCTCCTGCTCTCCTCCTCACATGTAGGGGTGGGGAGGTTTGGGGGGAGGAGAGGGGCAGCCATCTTGGCCTCCCTGCTGCTCCCAGCACACTCTAGGCATGCTTCCGCTCTGGTCTCTAACCTGACTGTTCCTTGACCGTGGAATGCTCCTCTGCCAGGTTCCCCTGGGCTCGCTCCCTCCCCTCCTTCAGCTCTTCACCCAAATGTCACCATCGCGATGAAGCCTACCTACCTTGACCGTCTGTTAGTACTTCAACCTGCCTCCCTATAACCCCATCACCTAGATACCACAGCCTCCTCTCCTATTTTTCACAGCACTTTTCACCATCTGAGGGAACATATAAGGAATGTTCTTACTTCTACTATTTATTATCTATTTTCCCCACCTCATTAGAATGCAAGCTTCACATTGGCAGGGGTGTTCAAGTGTTTTGTTTATTGATGTATTCCTGGTACCTTGAACACTATCTGGTACAGAAGCACTGAATAAATATTTGTTGAATGAACTGACCAAAAGGAGGAAAAGTCAAAACTTCCATGACAACCGAGCTTTAAAACTAACTTAAAATCCAGCAGCAGGATTTTGAGGCAGCATACGTTCCAGAGGTTGACTTATCTAAGACCATCCACACGGACAGAACCTAGACAGCAAATTCACTGAGTTCCAGCAAGTGGAGATCCAGTGCTATGTTCCACTTGCTATTCTGGAACTCGTTCATACTCTAGTAACTCAATTTCCCTACTTTTGTTTTTAACTCCTGAGGGAGGACGAGGTCCACTCCATTACACTGACTTTCTCGGCCTTTCCTTGCTGTTAGTAATGAAGACTACCAAGCCAATTCTCTACTCAGGTGTTCCCCTGCCGTTAGTCCAAATGAGTCTTTTTATTCTTTATTTCCATTATATTTAAAACTTGAAATCTTGTGATTTTTTTTTTTAAGATTTTCTTTTTAAGTAATCTCTACCCCCAACATGGAGCTCAAAACCACAGCCCCAAGATCAAAAGTCACACACTCCACCGACTTGAGCCAGCCAGGTGCCCCTTGTGATAGATTTTTAAAGCAAATCAATTTCTACTTCCCCATCCCCCCCCCCAAAAAAAATCCCAGCTGTATTTAAACTCCCATGACCTCTTCGTTTGCCCACCCCACTCCCCAGCAGGGGTTGGTCAGAACCTCTTAAGCACCGTATTTTGAAGCTGAGCCCTGCCTTCTGGGTCAAAGGCCATGTTGTTTACTGTATCCAGGGTAAAGATAGCTCGGAAACCTCGGGGGCATGATTCTGTCACTACTGCTTCATCCACCAAAAAACGAGAACAAAAAAGCAAAAAGAAAATAACTCCCTGCCTCTTTTCAGTTGCAGCCGAGATTCCTAACCACCCCAAAATAGCCGATGCTATTTCTTACCCTGTGGGCTTCCACATCCTGCAGGGCGCAAGCCCCTCACGCCTGCCTTATCTTCTACTATCAACAGCCTGGTGGAAGAAGAAAGATCGCCCAAGCCCAAGAGCTAGCTAGCATCCGTCAAGCACTTTACAGTTTACAGAGTGCCTGTCATATTTAATCCACACACCAACCCAGTGAGCAAAGCATTATTAACCTCAGTTTACGGAGAACACTGAGGCTTAGGGAGGCTAAAAGACTTGCCAGAGGTCATCCAGTTGGGGAGTCGCAGAGCCCAGAAGAGAACCCAACTTCTCTAACAAGCCAGGCCTCGCTCTCATGATCACCCCCCTCCCGACCTTCAGATCTACATGCAGTTACTCATTAAACAACCACCTAGGAGCCTTCAATGGAATCTCTTACTTGTCAAGGTCTTGTCCCTTGTTGTCTTTGACCCCTACTGTCTGTGGCTTTGCCTGAGCCCAAAGTACACACAGACAAGCACCCAAAGGAGGACTAAAGGCAGGATAAAATGACACTCACTTTAAAGATATGTCTCAGCAAATGAGTTGCTGTGTAGCTGGCTGCAAGCCCAGACCCTTTCAGTGAAACATCCTAAATAATTCAGATCCGTTGGTCTATAATATAAAGTGCAAATGTAGCTCATTTTTTAGACCAGTTTGAACATCAATAATAATAAGCCAGAGATAACGTATTTTGTTTTCATAGAATTGGAACAAATTGAACTATCCGTGCAAAAGCACACTGGATCATGGGGCAGAGGCGACAAGGTCTAATCTTTACAGCAAGCAGATTTTCCAGGGAGGGACTATGTCTGAGAAAGGGATAGGAGCCCTTAGTCCATGGGAGCTGGACTGGAACTCCTGACCAAGGGCATGACAGACGAGCTGCCCCTCCCCCCCGGGGCAAGCAACCTACACACTAGATGGCGGGGGGGGGGGGGGGGTGCTCCAAAGTTGGACCAAGAATTAGAAATTTCTCTTTCATCGCCCCCTTTCTCTTTCTTTCATTCTTAGGTCATCTTTACCTCTTACTCTGGCCGACCTAGCTCTTATTTTTTTCTTCAGAGCTGTCTCTCTTAGTTCAAGGTGTGTACCCACCTCCCTTGTGGTTCTATCCCCCCCTTTCTCCCGAGGCTTCCTTAGCAGTATGGATTGAGCAAGAGCTTTCAGAAACCAGACTCAAAGGCTCCCTTCTTATCCCGACCCTTCCCCACTTGCCTATTCCTTCCTCCTGGTTTCCTACCCCAGGTGTCTTCTAAGGCTCTCAAGAACTCCATGAATGTCCAAACTTCAGGAAAGGTAGAGAGGAAACACAGCGGACCTATACATAAATAACGCAAATCTTCAGAACATTTTCATTTTTGATTCTTTGTGGGAGAAGCAGTGTCTTATCTGAAACTAATATAACACTGTATGTCGACAAGCAGGAATTAAAATTAACACTTAAAAAAAAAAACCTAAAAATTTTTAAAAAACTAAAACTTTAAAAAAAAATTTAAAAAAGAAAAGTGGCTTCTCACTTTACCTAGACCATTTGGGACCTAACTCAGCAGAATACCTTTCAGCAGGGAGAGATGCTTCGGGCATCTCTTCCATTGTTTTGAACCATCACTGCATACTATACTTGAAGAAGTTAAATGATACCAGAAAGAAGGAGATGCATTTGCTCCAAGCCGAGGCTGCCAGGGCTCTGAGGAGAAGTCCCGTCTGCTCTCCAGCTCAGCATGTTCTGTAAGACCTGCCACGACAGGCCTGTATGACAGAGATACCAAGTGCTGAAGGGACGGGGTTTGATTTAGAGCTAACTTGTCCTCACTCTCGAAGAAAGGAATGAAAACCCTTCTCCCCCTATGCTCAGATAGTCCATTTCTAACCTCCGACATTCTTCTCCCTCTTCCTAGGACTGCAGTAGCCTAAGAACCTTTGCTTGGGTTGTTCTTAGAAACTCAGGAGGACAGGGGGCATCCCATAAGCAGCAGCAGCAGCAGCAGTTTTGACCCTAAAATCAGGCTCCCCTCCCCATGAGTCTGTGCACGGAGGCATTCTAAGCAGTTTATTTGCTAATTCAACTTTCTTAACCTATCTCAAAGATGGAGACCAATGTGAGTCCAATCCCTGTTTAAATGGCGGCATATGCAAAGATGATATTAATTCCTATGAATGTTGGTGTCAAGCTGGATTTGAAGGAAAGAACTGTGAATTAGGTAAGTAACTATTTTTTGATTACTCGTGGTTCCACGCTTCCCTGTGGAACCAGATGAAACTAGAAAATGCAATATTTACGTATCATAATTTTCTCTTAAAAACATATTCTTATCATGGTAAAGAACACTTAACAGGAGATCTATACCCTTTTTTTAAAGATTTTATTTTATTTACTTGAGAGAGAGAGAGAGGGAGAGCACAAGCAAGGGGAGGGGCAGAGGGAGAGGGAGAAGCAGGCTCCCCGAGGAGCAGGGAGCCCGATGCGGGGTTTGATCCCGGGACCCTGAGATCATGACCTGAGCAGAAGGCAGACGCTTCACTGACTGAGCCACCCACGTGTCCCAGGAGACCAACAGTCTTAACAAATTTTGAAGTGTACAATACAGTACTGTTCACTCTAGGCACTGTGTTGTTCAGCCCATCTCTAGAACTCCTTCATCTTGCGTAACTGAAACTTTATACCCACTGAACAGCAGCTCCCCCATTTCCCCTTCCCTCGGCCCCTGGCAAACACAATTGTATTCTCTGTTTCTATGTGTCTGCCTATTTTAGACACCTCAAATAAGTAGAATCATTCAGTATTTGTCCTTCTGTGACTGGCTCATTTCATTTAGCATAATGTACTCCAGGTTCATCTGTGTTGTTGCCTAAGACAGGATTTCCTTTTTTAAAAAGGCTGATCATATTCCATTGTGTAAAGCATATACTTTTCAAAGCTTATAAACATTCATTGGGTCTGTAGTCCTAGTTTCTTGGATGAGTTCAAGAAACTACAGTAAGAGCAATAATAATATTTGGTAGCTAATATTAAGTGGTAATGATGCTCCCCTCACTTATTAATCCTCAATACAACCATATGCCCTCAGTACCATTATTATCCCCATTCTGTGCAGATGAGGACACTATAGCTCAGACAGCTCAAAATCACAGAGGCAGTAAATGGTTGAGCTAGAACTTGAACTTCACTTTGTCTGACCAAAACCCACCCTTCTCCTATCCACAAAATGCAAAGAAAACTGAACCCATAAAATTGAACTCGTGACTAAATCGTTATCAACATAGGCAGTGGAAGTCAATGAAATATAGAACTGAGATATGGCAAGGCCAATTCTCCATAAAATAGCCACTTCTCTGCACATACAAACCACTTCACATGTTAAATTTGTTGACAAAAATCGGAGCTCACTCCTGAATTTGACTATATGGATCACATTGAAAGAGTTGCATAGCAAATCTAGGAGCACTGTCCATCTTTTCTCCTTATAGCCTATTCGCCGCCCCCGGGATTTTGGCAACTGGAGCAGTAAATCCCCAAGTCCTTCTCCTACTTGCTTATTATCTCTGGATGCAAGATTACTGGTATTATGGTTGTGAAAGGCACACCATGCTAATGACAGATTCTCTCTCTCCTCTGAAACTCCAGAAGAATGGAGATGCAATCCTAGGGAAAGAATTCAACAGCACAGGCTACCTGACTAAGGGCAAAGAGTAGAAAATTGGCAGGACTCTATTAAGACTTTCTCACAATCCACCTGACACACAGATGAAAAAGACATAAAACAAAATGAAACTCAGCAGCTGCGGTTGTCCTACAGAGAAAGGAAAAAAAAAAAAGTCACCTGTAATGTTGTTCAGAAATCTTTTCAGTACTAAAGAGAACTCCACAGATCATCTACCTTTAAGAGCTAAAAGATTTTTAAAAAGAATAGAAGATAACAAAAGGAAAAGGTGGCAGGGCAAAAACATTTAAAAATAAAGAAAAGAATGGATGCAGGTCGAGGATCTGATACCCCCGGCTCGGGGTACCTCCCATCCCTTCAAATTTCCCAGCATGGGGGCAAACCAATGCCTGGGTTACCTTTCCTGTGGTTGTGGTAACTTGCTCAAGATCTCTGCAGTGTTACTTTCATCTGAAAGTTTCTAATTTCAAATTCAGATTTCCGTATACAAACCTGATCCTGCTATTATGGAAAGCTACGGAAATCTGTGGAGTAGTTACTCATCAGCAGCTTAAACAATATAGCCTTGGAGCTGAGGGAATGAATAACTCAATTAGTCTCAGTTCAAAATGAAGAGCACATTGTAGCAGAGTATAATTGAAAATAGTATTTAGCGAGGTGCCTGGTGGGCTCAGTCGGTAGAGCACACGACTCTTGATTTCGGGCTCGTGAGTTCAAGCCCCACATTGGGTGCAGAGCTTACTTTAAAAAAAAGAAATAAATAAAATAAAATTAGGAGCAATTTTTTAAAAAATAATGTTTTGCATTAAATATTCCTAAATGTCTTTAGTTTAAAATGAAGACACTTTAATGGAGGAGAATTACACTGAGGAATGTAAGTATAAGCACAGGACTTCTGTAACAGGGTTTGCTACCCACGTGAGGCTGTGGGCCACACAGCAGAAGGGTCGTCTATACTGGCCACCTCCTCAGGTCTCAGGCCCCACACACATTGGTTTGGGAAAGGCTCTGCGGTTGCAACTTCGTCTACTACCATATCTGGCCTCTAGGGAGCATCGATCTCCCCTGGCCTACCTGATCAAGGTCAAGAAAAATCCTCTTGGTGCACTTAGTTCAGAGACAAAGTGGGAATTCTCCCAAAAATCTTTTTTATCTCAGACACTAGAGGAAAACAGAAGCATATACAAACTCCCATTTAAGCTGTTGCTTCAAACCGATCTACAGACTGACCTCAAAGCCTGCTAGGCAGCACGGTTTACAGAGCACTGGAGGCCCAAATTTCTCGCCTCACCCTTGTCTTAGAAAAAAAAGTATGTGGTGCGGGGGGGGGGGGGGGGGAGATTTCCATTGTTAAGATCTTGTCATTTGCCTTTTCCCTTGTTCATCAGGCTCCTCTCTGGGAGAAAGAGGTACAAACATTCAGGGCGTGCTTTCTAGTTAAAAGAATAACAATGAATTGGCTACTGTGCCCCCATGGTTAGAATAATGACCGCTATAGGTCCCCATTTACACATCACATCTGAGGCCTTTCCAGATAGATCAAGGTCTGTAAGAACTTGGGTCATTCCCCTTTGAAGAGTACAAAAGACATCTACCCACAGTAAGACAGGAGGGAGAGGAAAACATCACAAGCACATAAACACTTTTTACACTTTGCTGACATGTTGTAGACACCACGCTCTTATTTACTGAGTATTTCAGTGGAATGGAGAAAGAAAATATCTTGAGTTTAGCTGAATACCAGTATATTCTATGGTAAGCTTGTTAAATAGAACATCTTTTGTCTGAGCTTTAGTTTTCACATCAGAGAATATATGAGGGAAGATGAAGACAGAGTAAAATAAAGCAGAACAGGATAACTTTGGTAGTAGGCAGGGGCAGAATTAGAAAGAGGTGTTTGGGCAAATATGAAGGGGAAAAAGAACAGATGCTTTGAGAGGCTCGACAGATACTCTAGGCACAGAGACCAGCCTCGGGACCAGGGAGAACCCATACCCAACACAGCGCTAGACATCTAAATGCTCAATAAAGCACTGATGAATGAGTCCCATAGTGACTGTTCCTTAGATCCTGGACCAGAGACCTCCCCACTGGAACTCCTTGTGCTACTATTCTATTTCCAGAATCTTGAGTCCTTTCTCTGAGAGCAAAAGACTGCTGATTAGACAGCAATATTTCCCACTGCACACACAACACAAGCCATGAAGACGGCAAATGAGGAAAATGGCGGACAGGTCTAGTAACTTAAGCCAAGGACACAGAATCAGAATTGGGAAAACCACCCCGAGTTTATTCATTCCCGTCGTACATGCCCTGAACCACACCAGGCTGCACCTACCACCTACCTCTGTGAACTGACCACAATCTCATATTGACTGAACACTTTCTACAGGTGGTATTTGAGTTGGCTGAACACTTGAGTATTGCTTTGTAACAACAAAATGATAGCCAAAAACATGAAAAGAGCCAGGGATGTAATCACTATGAGTAAGGAGAAAGGTCTTTTAAAAATAAATATGAAGGACCAAGTGCCATCTTTTTTGGCTCACGCACTTAGATTATTGGCAGCACAGATTAAAGCTCAGGCGGGTTCCTTTACCTGTGCGGCAACAGTTGATTTGCTTCCCCTTAATTCCTGAAGTGGCAGGAAGGAACATGAGCAAGTGATTACATTAACCTATGCGAGCCTATGTAAAACGGAATTTGAAAAGTGAGATCCGACACTCAGCAATCCATAATATACTCCAAACCCATATAGTCACTCTGTTAGCCTGGATTCCCCAAGTCTGTGACTCGAGCTTATTTATTAGGGTGCGCAATCCTGGGGAGCAAAAGTAAGGGACAGGGGCGTGAGGCAGTGAGGAGAGGAGAACGGACCCTAGAGAGAGTCATCTCTCCTCATCTGCAACTGATCACTGGATCTCCTGGGACTATTTTCCATGGAGCCAGAGGAACTGACTTCAAAACAGTCCATCTGGGAGGGGAGACGTGATGAAAGAATTTGTCTAGCAGCATCTGTCTCCCAGTAGTCAGAAGTTTAGCCGAGGGGCCCTTAACTCCCCCGCATCTCCAGGTTGTACTCACTGGGGGCACCCGCCCAGGTGATGAGGGATCCCACGCCTCAGCGTCAACAGGGAAGTGCCAAGGTAAGAAGGGAGAGGCCCATGGTGCGGATGCGAGCCAAGGCAATTCAAGGCTGCACCTGTATGAGGTCAGAAGGTGCTGCAGAGCGGCCGATGACCACAGCACTGGCAAAGACAGACGTGGGGCTGAGAGGAACTAAAGTGGCACATAGCAGGTGTCTAATATAGTCATTCTTTTTCAAACTTTCTGTGTTCTTACTACACCAACAAGTGAGCGTTTCTCTTGAAAGTGGTACTGTTGTTGAACAGCTAGGTAAGGGGGAAGGCATCTCCTATCCATTGTGTTCCTGCGCGGCTCCAGAGACAGAAATAAGCCCAAGGGCAGAGCCTGTTTCTCTTAATGCAGCAGGTCTCAGCTAGCCAGCCCTGAACCACGCTACTTCCTGCTATTGAGACTGCATAGGAGAAACAAAGGGAAAACACGGTAATTAAAAAATACAAAATAAGATGGCAGGAATGAACCAAATATATCAGAAGTCAGAGGTTTTTTTAAATTTTATTTTATTATGTTATGTTAATCACCATACATCATTAGTTTTTGAATGCAGTGATCCACGATTCATTGTTTGCTTATAACACCCAGTGCTCCACGCAGTACGTGCCCTCCTTAATACCCATCACTGTTCTAATCCATCCCCCCTCCCCCCTCCCCTCTAAAACCCTCAGTTTGTTTCTCAGAGTCCATCGTCTCTCATGGTTCGTCTCCCCCTCCGATTTCCACCCCCTTCATTTCTCCCTTCCTTCTCCTAATGTCCTCCCTGCTGTTCCTTATGTTCCACAAATAAGTGAAACCGTATGGTAATTGACTTTCTCTGCTTGACTTGTTTCCCTTAGCATCGTCTCCTCCAGTCCCATCCATGTGGATGTAAAAGTTGGGTATTCATCCTTTCCGATGGCTGAGTCATATTCCACTGTATTTATGGACCACATCTTCTTTATCCATTCATCTGTTGAAGGGCATCTCGGCTCTTTCCACAGTTTGGCTATTGCGGACATTGGTGCTATGAACATTGGGGTGCATGTGGCCCTTCTTGTCACTGCATCTGTGTCTTTGGGGTCAATACCCAGGAGTGCAATTGCTGGGTCGTAGGGTAGCTCTATTTTCAACTTTTTGAGGCACCTGCACACCGTTTTCCAAAGTGGCTGTACCAACTTGCATTCCCACCAACAGTGTAAGAGGGTTCTCCTTTCTCCACACCCTCTCCAGCATTTGTTGTTTCTTGCCTTGTCCATTTTTGCCATTCTAACAGAAGTCGGAGTTACTGTGAATTGGGGTTAATGGCAATTTTCAGTCTGGAGTTAAAAATCTAATTGTATGCTGTTGACCAAAAAAGATACCTAGAATAAAATTACACCAGGAGGCTAAACTAAATGGATGTAAAAATATTTCCAGGGAAATGCTAACGAAAAGAAACTGGTGAAGCAAACTTAATATCAGGCAAAATAGAATCCAAGACAAAAAGAATTACAAGACACAAAGAACACCACCTCATATTAATAAGGGAGACTGCATAGGAAAGTAAAGAAAATGTGGGTCACTAGAATGCTCATCAGTGCCTACACATCATATCTTTGGCATTTAGCCACCTTAAAGGACCTGATTTCATTCGCTTGTGCTGATATATACCCATCTCAGCCAGCTTCAAGTGTGCTTAGATAAATTGGATTACACTAAAGCTATGAACTTCAGTGGGGCACCTGGGTGGCTCAGGCAGTTAACTCTTGATTTCAGCTCAGGTCATGATCTTGGGGTCATGAGATCAAGCCCTGCATCAGGCTCCAAACTCAGCAGGAAGTCTGTTTGAGATTCTTTCTCTCCTTCTGCACCCCCCACTCTCTAAAATAAATAAACAAATCTTAAAAAAAAAAAAACTATGGGGGCGCCTGAGTGGCTCAGATCATTAAGTGTCTGCTTTCAGCTCAGGTCATGATCTCAGGGTCCTGGGATCGAGCCCCACATCAGGCTCCCTGGGAAGCCTGCTTCTCCTTCTCCCTCTGCCGCTCCCCGGCTTGTGCTCTCTCTCTCAAATAAATAAATAAAAATCTTCAAAAATAAATAAAACATTAAAAAAAAAACCTATGAACGTCTATTCAGCAAAATACACTATTTTAGGACAAAAAGGCAAGTCAGAGTGGGAGAAGAAACCAGCAGTACATATGTCCAAGAACTGGAACCCTCACACACCGATGCTGGGAATTTAAATTTGTACAATTATGTCAGAAAACTACTTGGCAGTATCTACTAAACCTGAACATATGATCCAACAATTGCACTCCTAAGTATATACCCAGGATTCATGCATATATTACCAAAAGATATGTATTAGGAATGTTCATTACAGTATTACACCTAAGAGCCAAAAACTGGAAAGTCAACTCAAATATTCATCAGCAATAAAATGGATAAAACAGTAACATTTACACAACAGAATACTACTCAGCATGCAAATGAACCACTGCTGTACAAATAACATGGATGAATCTCACAAAGTGTTACATGAAAGACACAGAGGAGTGCATATTGTGAGCTCCTATTTACATAAAGTTCATTAACAGGCAAAATTCCCTCTTAGAATCTGGTAATGGATGGCAACTTTGGAAAGGAGGACCGGTGTAGTGGTGGAAGGGGGCATGCAGAGAGCCTCTGGGATGTGGATAATGGCCCATGCATTGATCGCTTTAGTGTTTAAACAGGTACACACACTTTGTGAAAATTCACCCTGAAGTTTTGAGGGACTTCTCTGAATATATATTATCCTTTAATAAACAGCTTCTTAAAATTGCAGTCTAAGATTTAGTGAAAGTAGAACACCCAAACCTTCAGTTTATGCCCCAAATCAAATATATTGCTGCCATTTGTATGCCTTATTAAGAATTTTATCTTTCCTTCTACTCTTAGCTCGAGGCTCCCAAGCTTCTCTCCATGAATGCCCCCTGCTTATATTTGACCTATCCATGAGTCAGTGGTTTTATGTACTCCTGAGAAATGCATGTGAAATGATGCTATTGCTGTTGATTTTGCTCTCTTTCAGATGTAACGTGCAACATTAAGAATGGCAGATGCAAGCAGTTTTGTAAATTGGGCGCTGGTAACAAGGTGGTTTGCTCCTGTACCACGGGGTACCAACTTGCGGGAGACCAAAGGTCCTGCGAACCAGCAGGTCAAAATCTAAATAAGTTGCTTTTTTCTTTTAACCTGGGGAGATCCATCCTCCAAATCTATATTTGAACCTTCAGGGCATTTTAACTAGACTACATACTTTTATAATCCCTATTTGTTTCTACTTCTTTTTGAGATCATAGAAAAGATGAGTAGCTTGAATTGGACAACTTTCCAAATGGCATCGTCATTTTAAATAGAAATTCTGCAACTGTCCTCAGTCTGAATTCTTTTCCATGTCCATTTTTTTTTCTGACTTTTAGATCATGAAGCAATCAATTTGTGTGATTTCTGTATATCTGTAATTTATCGAGTCAAATTGCTGTAGTAATCGCAGGCCATACAAGATACATAACTGACTGATAGGCTTCTAGTACATGGAATGGTGAATGTTAAGACTGATTCTGTCAGGGTGTGGCTGGCTTACTCTGAGAAGGTTATTTCCTATCCTTGGGTCTCGGGCTGAGTTTACACGCTTGGCATCCGAAGAGTTTCAACAACCATCTCTTTCAAGTTGTGCCAGGCTGACCGACACAGTCAGTCTGTACAGCTGTGGACAAAACAATGTTTCCCAGTCATGTCAACCAGGCCACCATGTTGACAGTGCTTTCAGAACATCTCCACTCCACACTCATATTGCTCTTCTCTGAAATGAAAGCCATAGAAACTTTGATTAAAAAAAAAAAAGTAGGCTCCACAGGATCAATTATATTTGATAAATGAGGGGCCTTTTTGAAGCAAACTAGGTATTTCTTTTGCATTTGCAAAGCCTGGTATTAAATTGATACATTAAATCATGCACCATTCCTCTGTTAACGGGGTTTGATACCTATCTCACCAAAGCACCCGGCAGAGGAAATGAAAGAAAGGGCCAGACGCCAAGAGTATACATACTGTTGCAACTAAAATGAAGAGTCTCTAATGCTTCAGGGACCTACCCACCCATCCTTCTGCCCAGTTCTTCACATGCACTGCTTCACAGCTAGCCCAGTTCCAGAGAAGAAGATCTGTATGTTTGAACCTTCAGAATCTGACTTCCAGCATAGACAGATGGCAGAGTAGCTAAACCCTTATAAGCCCTTCTATGTTAGAAGAAAAAAAAAAAAAAGAACTGAGAACCACCTTGAGCCATTAACTGTTATATTTGAATATAGCCTTATCCTTAGCAGAGTAAGTAGGTCAAACCTAAAATAAGCTTTCCTGCCTTTCAATAGTAATGGTCCTTTTTCTCTAGCCATTGTTGATGATATATATTTATACATAAGTATTTTGAACTAATTTCCTGTTTTCCCAACCACATGCTGTCTTCATGATAGTTTGCTGCAGCTGGTTGCTATAGAAATGTCTGTTATAAGGAATGTGGTTAGAAGGAAAGTGAGAAATGAAAATGAAATGTAAGGTGACTTTGCTTGACTACAAATTTCCGTTCTGGTTGTCCCCAGTATATCAGGAGATGATTTCTTGTCTTTAGGAAATAAACTGACCCAAGGTAAAAAGGTGGCCAGTTCCCAGGCAGATGTGGCTATGATAATCATATTAGTAATTTCTTTGGTTAAAGGGTTTTTTTTTTTTTAAGTTTAAGTCATCTCTACACCCAACATGAGGCTCAAGCTCATGACCCCAACATCAAGAGTCACGTGCTCTTCCAACTGAGCCAGCCAGGTGCCCCAGTAATTTATTTGGTTAATACTTAACCAAATTAAATAATTAAATCATAATTTCTTCCCAGCATATCCCAAAATCCACCTTGGTGTCTAGAAGGCATTCTAGTCTACTAAACAAAGCCTGGTTCACACTAAGCAGCAGAAGTCCCGTTTTCCTAATTCTAAAGTTACAGGGCACCAGTCATCAGAATCCCATTTAGGGACAGTACTTAGGAGTAAGACTTTTCAGTAAAGGAAAAAAAAAAAGTCATTAGACTTTATAAAACTCTTACAAAATTTGATTCTGGAACACCTATTCTATTTCTGTAAAGATGATGGATTCCTGAGCCAAATGTTCTTTTCATGAAGGGTTTGAAAACTTTCCATGAAAATAATGCAATTAACCTTTTAGTTTGAGACTATATTCATTGATTGCATTTTTAAAATATTGATGGGCCTGCTTCTCAGAAGTGATAAGGACAGGCCTCATCCTCGATTTCTGTAATACACACTCTGCTTGCCAATGAGAAATATCAGAATACTAAATTTTTTTCCCATGTTTCTAGTGCCATTTCCATGTGGAAGAGTCTCTGTCCCGCACGTTTCTACGACACTCACCCGTGCTGAAACTTTTTTTTCCAATATGGACTATGAAAATTCCACTGAAGTGGAAAAAAATTTCGAGAACCTCACCCAACCTCTCAACGACCTTACTCGAATTGTTGGTGGAAAAGATGCCAAACCAGGTCAATTCCCTTGGCAGGTACTCTATATTAATGGTGTGTCAAAACTGGAGCCTGGAGGGCAAGGGACAGGCCAGGTGGGGGCTGAGGCGAGGGCACCAGACAGGCCTCCTGCAGCGGGGGAAGTGTTTAGGCAAGTTTCAACACTAAGCAATATGAAGAAGCCCTCAGTGGTGGGGAGCTAGTGAAAGAGAAGTCCAGGGACAGCTACCATACAAGGTCAAGAAGAGTTTGACACCAAGGAAAGCATAGCAGGATTCCAGACATGAAACTGGGAGGTCTGGAAGTGAGGTCACAGGTACTGGGGTTCAGGGTACTACTTCAGCTCATGGGAGAACGGGTGAAAGAAAGTCTAGGTCCAGAGAAACTGGATTATTTTGAAGGGATTTTTTTTTTTAATTTATTTGAGAGAGTGAGAGAGACAGGTCACGAGCAGGGGGGGAGGGTAGAGGGAGAAGCAGACTCCCCACTGAGCAGGGAGCTTCATGTGGGACTCGATCCCAGAACCCTGGGATCATGACCTGAGCCAAAGGTAGACACTTAACTGACTGAGCCACCCAGGTGCCCTTGAAGGGATTTTTAAAAGGACTCACGTAGGAAGGAGTAAAGCAAGAACTGGGTTACTAGAACTAGAGTCTGAAATAGGGGCTTGGTCCAAGGCTCAAAGTGTGCTAGCAACAGAATCACCTGAAAACTTGTTAGCAATGCACATTTTCCTGCCATACCCCACTGAAGGGTACTGAAACACAATCTCTAGGGGGACAGCAACTTGAGTGCTAGTTAACAAGCCCTTCGGGTGATTTTGATGCATACTACATTTTGAAACCAGAGGAACCAAACACCAACCATTAAACTCATGGTACCTAGACCCACATTTCTCCAGATGTGATCTTCAGACAACCCACATGAGAATCACCTGTGCACATTTCCGAGGCAACTACCAAGAACTAGGTTTGTAGCAAAACTTGTCATTGACCCTACAGCTAAAGTCTGTGATTCCAGCTGCGAGAAGTGGGCCCCAGAGGCCAGGAGCCAGGCTGGTCCTTATATAAAGTGGTGCTGTCCAGTAACGTACCTACTAACCACATGTAGCTATTTAAATCTAAATAACTGCCATTAAGTACAATTAAAAACTCATCTCAGGCACACCTGCCACATTTCAAGTGCACAATAGCCACATATGGTTGGTGACCATGGTACTGGACAGCACAGATACAGAACACAGCCATCATTGCAGAAAGTTCTATTGGACAGTGCTTATAATAGTTTAGTCTAACTCAAAACTCCCTAGTGGCCACAGTCATATGATTTTGTGGCTATTTCAAAATACTTCACTCCAAAATATTTTCTCTACTGAGGTCTGAATTTTTGCCATCAGGGACCAGTAACTTCAAAGACTTTTCAATCATCAAACCAGTGACAATTTAAGCCAGGATCAGGTAAATGTCCCAGGCGCAACACCACTGGAATTCTCTGAAACTATGTATCTATTCAGGATTCTATGTATCTATTCAGGATATTGAACTTTTGCCTGGGAGGTAGGGATTGGCACATTGTAGAGAACCGTACTGAAGGGGGGTAGGCCTTCACAACCAAGACTATATTTTCTGTTCTTTTACCTTGGCTTTGCTTTTTTTTTTTATGATTTTATGTATTTGAGAAAGAGAGAGAGCACAAGTCCGGGGGCAGGGCAGAAGGAGAGGGAGAAGCAGACTCCCCATTAAGCAGGGAGCCTGAAAAGGGGTTCGATCCCAGGACCGTGGCATCACGACCCTAGCCAAAGGCAGACGCCTAACGGACTGAGCCCCACCTTGGCTTTGCTTTTAAGAATATGTGTTGGACTTGATCTTACAGCCACTAAAATACACTGTGTGTTCCTTGATAACCCCTCTATGCCCTATTTAGGCATCCTACCAGCACCGCTTCCCTCATTCACCATGACCTCTTCCTTCACTCATCCACATTTCCAGTCTCCTTCATGACTCTTCAATAAGAATGATCTTCTCCACTGATCTTTCCTTGAACAATCACAACTGGATCCAGCCACTCTAATTATGCTTTCATTCTATTTAACATCCATGTATCTAATTCTATCTAATTTTACTATTTGTGTTCTTGTGCATTCTCCTTCATTATGTATCCAGCTTCCATGGATAGGTGGTTGGAACAAAAGATCCTACTTTATAATAATTATCTTCCTTAGGGTTGTGGGACATAAAGCAGTCCCTAGAGTGGAGGATCCATAAACCCAGGGGTGTTTTATTAGCTAAAAGATGACTTTTCTTTAAAAACAAAAACAAAAACACTCCAGCATTAAAAAAATATCCCAAGATGCACACATTGTGGGCTCAGCATTGTTCCCTTGTCAACCCAGAAATGAAATTGGCAAACACACTTAAATAAGGGCTAATGGGGGGTAAAAGTCTCAATTTAGTCACATAATCTCTCCATTCTCCACCCACCCCCTTTAAGCCAGATGCTCGCCAAAGTTTTAACAATGCAAGTCTTTCCTAATAGAAATTTTAGTAACTCTAGCAAGCTATTTTTTTTTTCTTTTAAATAGAAGAAACTATTAGGTGATGGTTGCAGTTGTACTGCTAAGGAAGAAGATACAAATGATACACATCATTTCAAATCTTGTGATGTCATCCTCACTGCACACTTACATAGTATACTTGTTGCCTCTTTCCCATCAAGCCTAGCTAAGATCATTTGGAATGTTCAAGACCACTCAAGCATATGTTCACTCCCTATTTCGTCCATATGAAGTAGGATTACTGACCGTATAGGCACAAAACCCTAAGTTTTAGTCTTTATCAAGGGCGAAGAGCTGAGCTCCTAGAGTACTTGAGAAAGACCCTGTCATACTTCTGCACTGTTTCCTTCTCACCCAAGAGCAGTCTCTCCACACCCACCTCCATCCACTTTCTCACAAAAGGTTACTGGTTTTCAAAAATAAGAGATAAACTGAATGTACCAAAAGTCACTTTCAAAGACGAAACAGGAAATGAAACAAACCAGAGTCTCTCATCTGTGGGTGAGCCAGCTCCACAGCCCCGCTAATCTGCAAGGTGGAAATACTTGATTTGATTGCAGGCAACACTGTAATACACCTGCTGCAGCCAAGGCATCAAGAGAAAGCAAGCAACAGCTGGGGCTTCCATGGCCAAAATAGTACATCTATGGCTCAGAAATATGAAACAGTTTAGTGATACCACCCAGAAAGGGTTCCCAATTCCCATGCCTCCTAAAAGGGTGGGGGGCGGGGGATGAAGCGACCACTTGGGTGAACAAATCGCACAAAAAGAACGCAGGGAGGTCACTTTCCTCTGGAGTAATGAACGGCGTCAAGCTGGAAAGGTTTAGCAGAAAAGGGCTAAGTTAGCTGTTTGCAAGAGGTAAGCGGCCACAGAGGAAGGGAGAAGGCGACTTTTCCTTTGAGGGTTTATGGGTGAAAGTTAGAGGCAGGCAAGCAGATTCTGGCCCCGGTTAAGAAAGCCCTCCCCAAGCACAGTGTCGGTGAGGTGGGCTGGGCAGCTTTGGAAGGCAACTTTGGTTGAACCCATGTTTGTTGAACTGTTAACGTGAAGAGCTGGGGACAGCACCGGCCTGATAAACCCGTGGAGAGAGCATCGAGGGCCTTGGTTCGTCTGGTGGGAGAGTAGAGCAGGCTAGGGGACCTCTGCCACCCCATCCAGGTTGAGAACCTAAGAGGTGAGGTTCACCTTGCCCCTAGCTCAAGCGTGGCCGTGGCCATGTTCAGTCCTTACCTTATTCGAGGGCTTTCCCTTCAGCTTCCGGGCTGGAGGCGAAGCCGCACTGGGCCTGCCCCCTGCCCCGGGGGGGTTCCCATAACCCCCTTCGCTTCCAGCCGTGGGGCCAGCCCCCCCCACCCCCCCCCCACACACACCTAAGGCCAAAGGCGCTGGCGGACTTGCCTGACCTCTAACCTCCCTGCGGTGGAGGGGAGGCGGGGCGGGCGTGAGGCCAAGTTCCTTCATTTTCCCTCCAGATGGCGCCGGAGGGCTCAGAGCCTCTGGAGAGCTCAGGGAGAGGGGGGGCAGGGACTCTGCAGGGATACTCCAGGAGCCAGGAGAGGAAGCTGGAGGGTGAAGTGCACTACACAGGAACAGAAAGGATAGTTCCTAGAGTCACTATTATCCTTAGAGTGGGAAACAAAAACAAGACTCAAATTTCATACAGGTACATAGGGAAGCCATGAAAACCTTTGAATATTAGAGAAAAAAGGGAAATCAAAACACCGATACTACAAGACCACCTTCATCAACAGCTTAAAAGAGAAATTTGAGAAAACAACCCCATGTTTTGGCTTTCTAAAGCTTTTAGTTTTGGTCCCTTGCCCTTGACCTTGTCAGCCAATAATTCTGGGCATGCACAAACTTGCCCCAAGAGCTCCTCCAGCCTCTTCTGTTTTGGGTTTGGAGGTGTCTGGCTTTGAATGTGAACTACCTGGTCTTTCTATTTTCTGTTTCATCATGGGCCTCAGCTCTGTATTAGCCATAGTTATTGTACACTTAATAATTTGAAGATCATTCTACCAGATTGAAGAAATGGAATACAATGGAAGCCAAGTGGTTCAGCTTTCTTTAACCTTTATATTAGTTTGTATCGTATACAACTGACAATATTCAAATGTTTTCACCAGCAAAATGTCTTGAGAAGCAGTCTGTCTATTCCTTATTCTGTTCTTGGCCTAAAGAATCTTTAAAACATCTCAGCACTTTGCCCAGTGTCAGCTTTCCTCCGCTTTGGCCTGAAGCTATCCTTAAGGGTACCTGAGCTCTCGGCCTGCACAGCTGCTGACCCACACCCAATCCTTTCCATCAGGTGAAGACACATCCCTATGGCAGATAGCATACACTTACCATATGTATGAATCAGAACTTTTTCTTTCTTTCTATTGGAAAGGGGGGGATTGGGAGAAAGATTCTATATGATGGGCCTAAGACTATAGACACGTCTTTACCTGGAAAAAGTAACCCTCAAATGATAAACTTTCAATTAAGAGAAATAAAAACATGACATATGTAATCTCACCTGGCCCCACAAAACTACTTTGGACAGAACATTTAGATTATTATTCTCTAAGATGGATTGGTGAAAGCTATTTCTTTTTTAAAATAAGATTTTATTTATTTATTTGAGAGACACAGCGAGAGAGGGAACACCAGCAGGGGGAGTGGGAGAGGGAGAAGCAGGCTTCCCACGGAGCAGGGAGCCCGATGCGGGGCTCGATCCCAGGACCCTGGGATCATGACCTGAGCCGAAGGCAGACGCTTAAGGACTGAGCCACCCAGGCGCCCCGGTGAAAGCTATTTCAATGACGAGTTTAGTTAACCATTAAAATCTGAACATGAAAAAGAGAATGACCATCCCCTCTGTGCCCGGAAAAATGAAGTCGGGCCAATGGCTGGGCGAATCACACCTGTGGGCATAACGGGCTGTACATCCTGCAGAAATGGTTGTACTTTCTATCTGAGAGAATGAGTGTGCAAACCAGAAAAAAATGTTATTGGAAAGCTGGAGGTGGCTACGTAGAGAGAAGAGTTTACTGAAAATCACAGGGAAAGGCCAGATTCAAGTTAAAGGTTAGGAAGAGAATAACAGGGCGACAGCTATTACTCGGGGCTGGCATTCTCAATGAAGAGCATCAGAAGAGATATGTGAGTGTGTATTTTCTAGATGGATGTGGGTGTGTTTGGTGTGCATCTGTGTATGTGTCTGAAAGAGAGAAAACAGGCTCCTATTAAGATAGGACAAACATGAAAAGGGTTGACGGATCAGAACTTGGATGCCTTGCTCAGAACATATGCTTTCCCATTTTTCCCTTCATTTTCCAAAGTGATGTCTTACAAGAACTTGTCCTTGGCCAAGCAGACAGCTCATCTCCAAATAGCTCATATTTAGATAGCTGTGATCCTGTGGTAGCCAAGCAAACATTCCAAAATCTAGTCATTTGTAATATCTTTAAATGCAAATATATTTTAGGGCGTTTTATTGGCAAAGATGTTTGCTAAAATTTCTAATACCAATCAGGGACTGGCAAAAAAAAAAAAAAAAAAAAAAAAAAAAACTTTGGGGTTCAAAAAAAACACAATTATATTTCTCAGCCATCCACCAAAAAGGAATAGAAGCTCCAGACAGCAAGTCTTTGGCAGGAGTCAGACTAGCTACATCATAGTCTCTGTGCCCAGGGGCTGTGGATATCATTCAGTCTGGCCTAACCAACCCACTAAGCTGAGAGAAGCCCAGTCACCTCTAATACAGAGGAAAAGCACCATTCTGTTGTTGCATGTGAATTCATAACTCCAGTTACTGGAACGGATGTATTCAGATGTGACCATGAGGCCCCGTGTAGGACAGTGTTACCCAGACCTGCCTAGTGATACAAATCACCTGCAGTGAGGGCCAGCTTCATGAGCTTGTAAACCAGTGGACCGGCATGAGGCCTTGCGTTTGGAAGGGTCCCAAATTTGGAGTTTAACGCTTTGTGTTTTGTAACTCGAGTCTGCTGAGACAGGGAAGCAGCAGTGCGCTGGGAGCCTGGAACCTCTCAACACCTCCCTGGGATGGATTCTTCACCTCCCACTCCCTTGTCCCCTGGTTCGTTGGCCAGGTCTGCATCTTCCTCCCCATACATGCCCAACGACCACTGCCACCCTCAGCCCATGGCACGCTGGCATACTCCCCTCCACTTCTCCAACAGCCATCCATGTCACCCTCCTCCTGCACCAGCACAGGGAGGGTTGAGGCTGGGTATACACACTCTATGCCATTTGGGGAGGGGGCACGGCACAAAGCATCTCAGGCCCAGAAGTGTGTCACAGCTCATTTGGAGGGTGGATGGTGGGGGCAAGCCTCTTGCCCGCCTCCATTGCAGGTGCTGAGCACGTCCCAGCTTGGAAGTTGTAACCCCTTGAGATTCACGCCTCCACTGTTGGTTGCTGCAGTGGGCCAGTGAGAAGGGCAGATTGACTTACCTTCCCCTGCTGCGACATGGGGTTGGTGGGACAGGGGGCCTGGCAGCCCAGGGCATTTGTCCTTGCATGCCAAATCATGGGGTGCAGCTCCTGGGCACCCATCAGTGTCTGCGCTCTCCTGAGAACGCATGACATGAAACAGTAAAATTAAAAACACCATGGGGGCACCCAGGTGGCTCAGTCGGTTAAGCATCTGACTCTTGATCTCAGCTCAGGTCTTGATCTTAAGCCTCACACCCAGCATGGAGCCTACTTTAAAAAAATAAAGTAAAATAAAAAATAAAAACCCCCTTGGGGTGCCTGGGTGGCTCAGTCAGTGAAGCGTCCGCCTTCGGCTCAGGTCATGATCTCGGGGTCCTGGGATCGAGTCCTGTGTTGGCCTCCCCACTCAGCAGGGAGTCTGCTTGTCCCTCTCCCTCTCCCTGTGCCCCTCCCCCCTACCTGTGGACACTCTCTCGCTCTCTCTCTCCTCTCTCTCAAATAAATAAAAATCTTTAAAATAAATAAATAATAAAAAAATAAAAACCCCATGATAGATTGCAAGAGACCATAGAAGAAAGAAAAAAAAAAATTGTACTTAAGTATTTTTAATGGCATGTTTTTTTCCTGGCTTTTGAACAAGGGGCTCCACATTTTCATTTTGCACTGAGCCCCACAAATTATGTAGCCAGCTCTGTGTGGACCGAGCACTTTTAAAACACAAAGTTCACGAAGCCTTGGAAATTCTGAAACAGAATTTCTCAAACTTAATCATGCATAAGGATTTTCTGGAGATCTTCATTTCCTCCAGTCACACCCACCAAATATTCTAATTAAGTTCCGGTGGGCCCCCAAATCTGCATTTTACAAGCATCTGAGATGCTTCTACTGCAATTGGTTCACTGACCACACTTGGAGACCTACTATGTTCTTAGGAGCATAGATTCTGAAGCCCAGTAGACTAGGGTTTGCATCCTAGCTTCACCACTGATCTTAAAGGAGTTAATGTACATATCTAAACCTCGGTTTGCTCATCTGTAAATGGATATATTAACATCACTCCACAAAGTGGTGTATTAAATGTACGTAAAACACTTAGCACAATGATTCGTCCATGGTAAGCAATCGATAAATGTTCAAAAAAATTGACACTGTTACGTCTGGGTGGTGGTGGCTACCCGGGTGTTTATTATATTATTATGTGAGCTTTCCTATATTTTTACAACTCTTCAAAATAAAAAGCAACAGCCAGAAGGAGAGAGAAGGCTAAAGTGTGGAAAAAGGGGTCAGAAGCTTGCAGTGAGTCAGCCCTAGAGGTCTCCGGGTAGGAGGCCAATGCTTCAGTGTCTAGGACTTAGTAGGTGTTCAGTAAATTGAACTCAGGACAAAAAGAATCTTCACTAGACCCTTCTCAGACTCACACTTAAGGGCATTGACCACTTTTTTCCCTTGGTTTAGAAATGGATTTATGTGTGAGAGGAGGTGTGTTTTAGTAAAAGGGCACGAGTTCTTAAGAGCTAGCCGGCTTCCGCATAGGGTTTACCAAATGTTCAGTGCACCCTCTAGTGTCCATACTTCTCAGCTTCCTTCCTGAAGAGGTGGCTCGAGGCCTTTGGGCACACTGGAAGTGAAATTCTCCAAGTTGATCTAGACATTGAGGTGGTAAAAATATTCATTGTCCACTCTGGTTATACAATAAAATGTACAGATGAAAGAGTGGACTGGCCTCTTATCTAATAATGCCCAGGATCAAACCAGCACCGGAACGCCTCTGTCCACTTTGCCCAAGCACGGCTAAGGAGACCTGTCGGGACAGAGGCAGCTTCCACATCCAGCCAAGGGGACTGGAATATGGCTAGGGGAAAGGGAAGGAGTGCATGTGCCCTGCTGTTCCTCACTGCCTGGATGGCTGTAAGCACAGCTCCTATGGATGCCAGTGGTCTCAATTCATAGTTTGAAATGGGCTTAAAAAGACTTCAGGGAGGGGCGCCTGGGGGGCTCAGTCGTTAAGTGTCTGCCTTTGGCTCAGGTCTTGATCACAGGGTCCTGGGATGGAGCCTCGCATGGGGCTCCCTGCTCCGCGGGAAGCCTGCTTCTCCCTTTCCCTCTGTGCCCCCCTCTGCTTATGCTCTCTCTCTCTCTCTCTATCAAATAAATTAATAAAATCTTAAAAAAAAATCTCAGGGAAAAATCAGTACTTTTTCTCTTTCAAATCACCCTGTAGCAAGGTTTCCTCATGCAGCGACAGAAGACTCAATAATAACTATGGATCTGGAGGAGTCAAGTAAATTTCTGAATTTACGTGCCATATTCCCATGAAACAATCTGTGCCATCAGAGAACCTGACTCACCTGGAAAAGGCAGCCAAGGGCCCCAAATCACCAAAAGAAGCCATTCCCTCATATTCGCCTCCTCTAGAGCTCCCCCTGGCTCTCCTTGCACATTCTCTTCAAGACAGTTACAGAAATGTCTTTTTTGATTGTGCTCCAGAAACACCAACTCATCTGCAAAGCTGACACTTCCCAGAAACACTCCAGTTCTGCCAGCACCTAGATTCAAACTTTTGCCCACTCCTATCAATAGCACCTGTATTTATTTTGTTCTGGATCAAACACCTTATGTAGTAAGTTTCATGATTTTGTTTCCACAGGTCCTTTTGAATGGGAAAGTTGATGCATTCTGTGGAGGTTCCATCATCAATGAAAAATGGGTGGTAACTGCAGCCCACTGCATTGAGCCTGATGATAAAATTACCGTGGTTGCAGGTAAGTAAACAAAAAAGGATAGGAATCGGCAGTATCACTAGATCTTCTATGTAATTGGTGCATCGTATTTTCCTAAGGTCTACTCAGTTCTTCGCGAAATAAGTTGGGCTAGTGCTAGAGGAGCTGTATTTCTAGAACCTAACTTCTTCCAACCTCCAAGCCCCCCATAGTTCTTTCGGCGTGCCCAGATTCATCCCCCATCTCACGGGGGTACAATTATGTATGATGCGTGCATTTCCCCACCCAGACCGAGCCTTCCCCAACGCTGTGTCCTATCATTCGCCTTTGTACCTCTGGTGCCTGGCACGACCTTTGAATGAATGACCCAATGACTATATTATCTGTGCTCAAAAAAGGGGTCAAAATCCTTGAAATTAGGAAAGTCTAGGGTAATTCATGCCAAGTAGCTTCATTACCACCTGAACAATGTAAGGTTTGCACCAGCATGGGAGAACAAACCAGCTCCATGATGGTCCCGAATGGGTTTTTGGTCTGAAATGTATGCATTAGCCCTCATTACATTTTACCAAAATCCTAGCAATGTAAGACTGAGATTGTTGACACTTGACTGCCAGTTAATTCAGGGATGCCGAGAATCTTGGCCAATCTGTTTCCTTATGTGTACGTCTACCTGTGACTGAAGAGAAATTTATTTTCCGTAGGTGAATATAACACCGAGGTGAGGGAACCTACGGAGCAAAAGCGAAATGTGATTCGCACTATTCTTCACCACAGCTACAACGCAACTATTAACAAGTACAACCATGACATTGCCCTTTTGGAACTGGATGAGCCCTTAACGCTAAATAGCTATGTAACACCTATTTGCGTTGCTGACAGGGAATACACGAACATCTTCCTCAAATTTGGATCCGGCTACGTGAGTGGCTGGGGGAGAGTCTTCAACAGAGGGAGATCAGCTTCAATTCTTCAGTACCTTAAAGTTCCACTTGTTGACCGAGCCACATGCCTTCGCTCCACAAAGTTCACCATCTATAATAACATGTTCTGTGCTGGCTTCCATGAGGGAGGTAAAGATTCATGTCAGGGAGATAGTGGGGGACCCCATATTACCGAAGTGGAAGGCATCAGTTTCTTAACTGGAATCATTAGCTGGGGTGAAGAGTGTGCAATGAAAGGAAAATACGGAATATATACCAAGGTGTCCCGGTACGTCAACTGGATCAAAGAAAAGACAAAGCTCAACTAAAGAAAAAAAAAATGTATTTCCAAGGTTGACATATTTGGGGTTGAAGATGGACAAGGGCCTTTACTGACTAATCACTTTCCTATCTCTTTAGATTTGACTGTCTGCATTCTATGAATACTGCTTTTTCTCTTTATGGGGAGAAATCTATCTAGAATTCCTATTTTACTAGAGTAAGCAGATTAGCAAATGTAATCACTAGAGAAATGTACTGTGATAGGAAATTGTGACCATTCCCACAGGTCCAGCCCTTGACAAAACTGTGAAGTTAAGTTCTTCATCCTGCCCATCGGGCATTAAGTTTCTCCACTGGGGCAACTCTCTGATTCTCCCTCCTTAGCAGCATTCCATGTTCCAGATCTTTCTTACCTCTCCCACCAAAATCATCAAAACGTATTAGATCTGTATCCGGGATATTTGGTCTAGTTCACAACAAGGCCAGCACCACACTCATAAAGGATGAACACAGGGGGAGCCGACAGGTGGAAACTCACCAGAAAACACTACTTCCTTTTCTGTACCCTTATTCCTGCTTCCTCGATCTCTTCCGTTTCCTAATCCCGAAATCAGTTTCTCTCTCCCTCCCTCTCTCTTTCTCTCTCCTCTTTTCCCTACACGGGATTAAAGGAGGGAAGGGGCACATCATGCTGTTTTCCTGCTGTCCACAGTTATACATGTCTGTCAAACCCAGACTTGCTTTCAGTTTGGTCTTTGACTTGCTTTTCAGAGCATAGGGATGAAGTAAGGTGCCCGAAGAACTTGGGAGGAAAAGTTCCTCTGAGAGAGTCATGTTATTAAAATACATACATCACGGAAGGAATGACCCATCAGAATAGTTCCCTAAGAGCTTGTCATTGCGTTCTGATGGAGGTAACTAAGAAGGGTGACGTCACCTCACGTGTCTCGTCCCCCATCTCAAAAAATGTTAACAGAGAACAGGCAGTTTGCAATCTAGAACTGGTAGACTCTTCAAGGAAGAATTCCTCAGTGTGTCTCCACTACCGCCCGGGGCTAAGGAAGAAGTTGCCCTAGACCAGAGAACATGAGCATCATGTCTCCTGAACTAGCATATCTCCACCATGGAGAAGGGTGCGCTGGTGGCTCACTCCCCCTTTTCTGGTTTCATGCTCTCCAGGCAACTGTTTGATTATAATTAGGCCTTCCATATTGAATCTTCTACAGGGTTGCTGACCAACCTACACATGTACTTTGATGTGTTAGAATGGCTCCCTTTGTGAATTAATAAACTGGTGTTCTGGTTCATACCGCAGCTTTTTGTGAATTTGGTTGATGTGAATCAGTCATCTCGTATTTCATGATGTGTCAGACCACTGACGAAATCAGGTTTGGGACCGCTTTGACCCCACCAAGTTGCTGCCCTCACCCCGCCCCCAGCCAGGCCTCACTCTTGCTGATTTCTTTCAAGTGCTTCTAGTTAATACCTTTTTACTTTAGTCTTTCAAACGTAAGCACCGATTAACGTATTTTCAAATTTCTCAAAAAGCGTTTCTTTTGCATCATTCACAGAGAAGTACCGCAAACACCCCATTCAGCAGAACGCTGAGCATAATGTGTCCGAGGGCAATACGACACATCAGAGTTCGATGCTCCACTGTCACCCGGCTTTCATATGAGGCGGTGTGTCCTGTCCTGGAGAGGACAGTGGTCTGGATCCACCTGGGACAGAATCGAGTTTAAATAGCTGTGGATATGGCCTTGGATAAATCACTCCACATTTGGGGCTCTGATTTCTCCATTTGTACAATGAAGGCATTTGACAGAATGCTCTCCAAAGGCCCTTGTTGACCTTGATAGTCTGTGATTTCCTGCTCTTTCATTCCTTCATTCGACAAATATTCAAGGACTGAGTACTGTGTGCCAAACGCCAATGTGTTCATTAAACTTGAATCCATATTTATGTATTTTGTGAGTTAACTAAAATAACGTATATACATTGCTTTGTCCATCCCTGCTACATTACTACCCAGTAGATGCTCAACAAATGTTAGCTGAATCTGAACCCGTGTTTATTCCAAGGCAGGGATTAGTCTTGCATCGAGAGTCCTGAAAGGAGGCCATAATTAATAACAATAGTGAGTGGGATTGAGGTTTCGCTTAACAAACAAAAGAAATCAGTTCTGCTATTGTCAGCTAAAGGAGGGAAAGAGAGGAGACACTACAATCGTCCGCCTTAGGTTTGAGGAGGATACTGATTCCTGCCAGAAAACAAGTTACTTCACATTTGAATGACTAAAGGTCTGTAGCAGTTGGTAAAAGTGAGCCATTCCGGCCTGGTTGCCATGGAGACCACCCCTGACAAAGGCAGCAGTGGGGGGGTGGCTTTACACCTCCTGTGATTGGTCTTCCCGGTGGCAAAGAAGATCCTGGGCCCACAAAGCTCCAAGCCACAGTTAGCCTTTTTCCCATGAGCTCAAACACGACTGGATTCATCACGAGCCCCCTGCAGCACTACACACGTGGGGCCCCTCAGCCCACCCGAGAGCCCGAGCCTTCGGAGCCAGGGCCTCGCTAGACTCTCCCTAGGCCATGTGCAGTCGCCATGGAAGAATCATTGGTGCTTTCGAAATCGCTATAGCTACTTAACCTAAACGGGCGGAAACATGCTGCTGCAATATTGCAAGTGACATGAAAATAGAGCTCTTGCTGAGCGAAGAAAAGTGTGTTAATGCAGTGCAGTCATTGTAACTTGCTGCTTAAGTAGGACTGGTTTTGGTTCTTGGGAAGAGTAGTTGTCTCGTGATGGCAGGAACAGAGTACTGTCCAATTTGCTCTGTCAAGAAAAAGAAAGGTTTTTCCCCCCTGCTCTCCTAAACCATGGCAGACCAGTTCACAAAGTCGCTTAATTCGCATTTCTCAACAACTCCCGAAGGCTCACAGTCCAATTTAAGAATGTCAGAGTTGCCAGGGCCCTCAGACACCATCAAAACCACTCTGCCCATTTAACAGATGAGGCCATGGAGGCCAAGAGTGACACAATGGCAGAGTCGGAACTAGAACTCAGGTCTCCCGCTCTGAACCATGAAAGTATTACCCCGCTGGCCATCCCAGGCCTCCAACCCTGGGACCGCAAATCGCCCAGAATTCCTACCAGGGACGCTCTCATTGACACACAGGCGGACCGACTCAAGACCCTCAGGGGGTCTGGGAGGCAGAGTGGCCGGCAAAGAACGAGGCGGATGGCACTGCAGCCGCCGGCTCGCAGCAGGCACTGGGGAGGGAGGGCATGGGGAACACAGCTGCGGGCGCCGGACTCCAGCTTTCAGCCCAGCTGCGGGCACGGGGGGCCTTCCTGATGGGACGCCTGACTTGTAGAGCCACTTGTCAGTGTCAGTGGGCACACGGCCATTCCGGCACCATTTCCGCTCGCTCGCTGCCGCTGTGCTGGCGAAGGCGCGCGGGGCTCGCGGGAGCCCGCAGGCCACTCCCGAAGCTGGGAGGCCCACTGCAGCGGTGCTCCCGACCAAGCGGTGCAGCCGGGGTTGGGGGCCGGGGGCGGCCAGGAAACAGGTTTCAGCGGCTGGCAGGCCTGTCTGAGCAAAGCGCTCAGGAAATCCGGGCTCTTTCCGAATCTGAAGCTAATGCCATCTCGAAATCTCATGGTTGAAAGCCACAAAAATCAGCATGTTCCGCACACTCTGGAGGCTGCCGAGGAGTCAGAGGAGGCAAGAGACTGTGGAGTCCCCGCCCTTTCAACCTATACAGGTACACAGACCACGCGACTCATTGTCTCTGACAGTACTTTCAAAGCAGACCCTTTTTACCCTATCCTTGAAGTTATGGCTTGCCTGGAGATTTCCAGAGTTATTTCAACCTCTAGCAGACTTTCTTATAGATAAAGAAGCCACGGCTCCTGGAACAGGGCCAAAGTGTCTTCTCTGCACCCTCACAGGAAGACAGCAGGATCTCCAACCCCTGGCCAGATCCTTTCCCTCTGGTAGGAGTTTCCCTCTTGGTCCAGAGAAGGATGGAAATAGAAACAGGGATATTCTTGATGCCAAAGACTTCTTTTCAAAAGGTTGCTTCATTGCAATGTTAAATATGAAATCTTAATCTCTAAAAATTGCCGAAATAGTAAATCTTCCGAATTGCTGTCATTCTTAAGCTTTTGAAAATGCGGTACTCTCTAACTTCTCCAGGTCTCTGACCGTGAAGTGGCTTAAGCACCAACCTCATAAAGATAAAGGGATACCATGATTTAGACATTATGTGCTTTGGTGAACATCTATATATAAAAATCTATTTTCCTCTTGGAACATGACAAAAATAAGCATGCATTTTCATGATATTGAAACTCAGCTCTAAAGGAAGCCAAATTAAGAATGCAACAAGTCTCTGAGAAACTCAGCGCATGCTTGTTAAATGAATGAACCAACACATGAATGAAATGGGAGGACAAACTCTACTGCAGACCACATCAATGCAAAATTCAGGCGTCTAAGGTAGCAAAGGGGTCATCATCCTGAACGCATACAGGAATATGACATAGAAAGGGAGACAGACCAACAGAGAGACCTTCTACAATCAGTTACTTCCAAGGATATAAAGAGGAGTTAACACTAATTTCTAGGAAATGCAAGAAAGATTAGCCTAGAAGACTCTGCTTATCTCTGCTTATAGCCCTGGCCTTTTCCTCTCCTGTTAACATTTCTTGCTTTTGTGTTTGTGTTCTCTAGAACCTGGACTTACTGGGGCGCCTGGGTGGCTCAGTTGGTTAAGCATCTGCCTTCGGCTGAGGTCATGATCCCAGAGTCCTGGGATCGAGTCCCATGTCAGGCTCCCTGCTCAGCGGGGAGTCTGCTTGTCGCTCTCCCTCTGCTCTACTCCCCCCTCACCCCCCGACCGCCTGCTCATGCTATCTCTTTCTCAAACAAACAAACAAACAAATAAATAAATAGAAACTGGACTTACCTCTCGTCTGTGCTTTGTATCCTCACTTAGGTAGATAATTTGTTGTTGTACCTTGTTTTTATAGAGTCAGTTCTTAGCTTTAACTTTGATTTTCAAGTTTTATATCTGAATCAAACTTCTGTTCTTGGCCACAAGGATTTCATTTCTTCCATTAAAATATGCCTCCCCTATTTTTCCACTGTCCACTCTTCCATATACTGTTTCTAGTCCTAGATGATCACACTTGAGATCACAATCTGCTTCCTTGGTTTAAAAAATGTAAATTTGTGTTATAGATATGCTAAAAGAACAACTACATATTACATAAGGGTGGGTTATAATTCAGAAATCTTAGCACATTCTAATCAGAAATTTTACTGAGCACTTGCTGTGGGCTTCACACTGTGTATTTCATAAAAATATCGGTGGTGTGCTAGAACTTGCTTATTATGCCAACTCACAAACACCAATTTTGCACATCTCTTTCCAGCTCCCAGTACAGTGACTTCACGTCAGTGGCTTGAAATCTGCCACGGGAGGGATATTTACACTATAGATATTGACAAACGCTACAAATGTTCGTTTTGTTTTTTTGTGAGAGAAAGAAAGTGTGCACGCGTTGGGTGGGGGGGAAGGCAGGGGGAGAGGAAGAGGGAGAGAGAGAACCCCAAGCAGGCTCCACACCCAGCGCAGAGCCCAACGTGGGACTTGATCTCATGACCCTGACATCATGACCTGAGCCAAAATCAAGAGGGGGACGTTTAACCGACTGAGCCATCCAGGTGCTCCAAGATTTTATTTTTTTAAGTAATTTCTACACCCAACATGGGGCTCAAACTCAAGACCCCAAGATCAAGAGTCACATGCTCTTCCAACTGAGCCAGCCAGGCATCCCTATTTTTGTTTTTTAAAGAGGCTCCATTGTTTAACATTTACTAACAAACCAATGGGCACAATCTGATTATTTGACTAAAAAGCCTTCATTTTTACAGTCCTGCTACTCAATTATTGCTATGAGTGAGCACTAAATAACAATGTAAATAAAACTCTAATTAAGTTATTTAAGGAAGGATAGTGTTCACAAGTTAGAAATATTAAAAAATCAGACCATTAAAGTTGTTCTCAGATAGCAACAGGTATTTTATGTTGTAAAATAAAACATTTCTTAAGTGCAACTACTTCTCCTACAGAACACATTCACACGTTAGGTTGACAAAGGTTTATTCTATGGTAGTTTTCTGCTGGTATATTAGTTCACAGTAGCAAAGACTGTGGAAAAGAGTTCTTGACTGTTATTTTCAGCCAGCATGTAAGATTTAAAAAAAATCCCCACAGAGATGAGTGGAATATAAATTTTGTGCAGGGTTTCACTACCTTTCAATCATCAGGGGATAAGACATTATATTGCACTTTTCCAGTACTAAATTAAAGTGAGTATAGTTTTCTACAGTATAAAATATTTTAGACACATAAAAATGTATAGAGAATAGTATCATGAACTCCCAAGTATGAACACCCATCCATTTCTTCTCTCTCTCCCCCTACTTTCAGAGGCGGCTACCATCCTTAATTTGATGTTCATCATTATCTAGCACATATTTTTACTTTAAATTATGCTTTAAAAGTACACATTATGCATATGTTTAAAGATTTTATTTATTTATTTGAGATCAAGAGAGAACGAGAGAGAGCGAGCATGAGCAGGGGGCAGAAACAGAGGGAGAAGCAGGCTCCCTGCTCAGCAGGGAGCCTGACATGGGGCTCAATCCCAGGACCCTGGGATCATGACCTGAGCTGAAGGCAGACACCTAACTGAGCCACCCAGTTGCCCCCACATTTTGCATATTTTAAAACTTTATATGAATGCTATATCTATCCAGCAATCAGTTTCCTGTGAGAGTCACTGACGTTGATAGCATAGCTCTACATCTTTTTTTTTTTTCTAGATCTTTCATTTTAACTTCTACACAGTACTTTGTTGTAGGATATTCTGTTAATAGTCCATTCTTCTGTTCATGGTCATTCCTGTTGTCTCCAAATTCTTCACAATGCTGCTATGAACATTCTGCCACACATCTCCTCGAGCATGTGTGTGTTTCTCTGGGGCAGATATTTAGCAATGGGACTGCTAAGTATGTGGTATTCATTTCAACTTCACTTAGTATTAGAAAATTGTTCGCCAAAGGGTTGTACCAATTTATGCTCCCAGTAACAATGTGTAAGAATTCTTCTTGCTTCATATCCTCCCCAACACTTGGTATTTTTAGAAATACCAGCAAATTTTTAAGTTACTACTATTTGCATGTATAATAGCTGTTTTGCACTGAATTCGGGTATTTTGAAACTAGTTGTAAATGCACAGGTAGGTATAGCCCTGTATGCTCCCCAGGCTCAGTAAAGAAATCATTTTAGCTTCTAATGACAGATTCCAAAATGTCCACTGTGGTTGAAGAGTTACAGTTCACTTAGTTAATAACATTTTATTGGTTCTCAGTTGATTTCTCGGAGATTGTCATATAAAAGAGCGTGTCACGATCAAACTGAGTTTAAAACTTAACTGAAGTAATCCTAGGCACATCACGTTCTTTTCAAGTTTCAAATGTTTGACTTTCTCTTCAGCTCCATTGTGGTACCTTACTTTCTTCTCCAGCCTGGTTGTACTTGTTTGCTTATTTTGGTAGTGATCGAGTTAGTGAGTCTATCTCACAAATATGTAGATGAAATGTATCTTTGAAATGGTTTCTATTTTATGTTGGTTGGCTTTAAGGAAAGTTTCACTGAGCTGAAGGAATACATCTTCATGACGTTCAACTTCATTGTTCTCAATACACATTAGTAGTCCTTTTTGGTGGACATATGCTGAAACTCTCTCCTCAGGACGTAATGTGCTAATTTGCACATGTAAAAATGAGGTGATCAACAAATCAAGTAAGCCCTCTCTAAATGCAAAGAACTTAAGGCTTGAATACGTCATGAGCTTTAATATATAAGATACATCTTGAACTAAAAAGAAAAGCCTGCTGTCACTTCTATGATTTTCTTTTGACCAGTATAAAGGGTTTAGGGTTTCTCTTTAATGCTGGTTTGTTCCTAAGTATTTCACTGTCCTTAGGTGGGCCCCATAAAACCAACTGCAAACCGACCATTCCAAATCAATGTACGGAAATGTACTAAAATGTAATAAAAACAACTTGCTTTCACAATTACTTGCTTGCGATGTGATTTGTTAGGTCTGCTACCTCCATGGGAAGCGGGTTTCTGTGCTCTAGTACCTATTAATAATAAGCATTTTTCTCAGAGAAAGTCTATTGAGTGAAACTGGATTGATTTCTAAGTCCCAAACAAAATCACTAATTTCTCTTCAAGTGGAGCATTTCTTACACTCCCTTACACTTAAGAAAAATATACTCAGAGAAGTTCTCTCTTCTTAAGAGAATACTGTAGCCCAGGTGTCAGGGTGGCTTTCTTAACAACTCCATACTCTATAGTATGATATTTGTACACAATTTTGGAAATGTCAACAATAACATTTACTCTTCTGCCAACAGAGGAATAAAAACTGGAATACACATTTTAATCTTCAAGGAGCTCTTGGGAGACAGATTAACTTATTAACTAGTTCACTGACAACACTTCCTCAAAAGGACTCAAAATAAATTTAAAGGCAAAAGAAATATTTGATTCTGTA